GAGAGAGAGAGAGAGAGAGAGAGAGAGAGAGAGAGAGAGATGGTACTTCCATTGACAGGCTGAGCAACGCACTAGCCAACAGGTAAATCTCCAACCCCGCGGCTCGCCTCACGCTACTTCCATAATAGGATGAGCAAAAGCGAATGAATCTTCTGATAGAACATGGAAATATACACAACTACACGTGTGTGTGTGCATGAGGCCAGCCGCGGGGTTGGAGTCTTACCTGTTCGCCAGTGTATTGCTCATCCTGTTGAAAACTCTCTCTCTCTCTCTCTCTCTCTCTCTCTCTCTCTCTCTCTCTCTCTCTCTCACACACACACACACACACACACACACACACACACACACACACACACAAACAAACACATTCACTTGTCTGTTCATTCTCATTTCATTTTTTTAGGCCATTTTTTTACTTTTTATTTTATTTTTTGATTTTTTTTCAGCGTGGAAGACCCTGTGGGGCTCTAGCCCTAATGAAAAAGAGGGGACACCAGCATGGTGGACCCCTGCGGATCACCGGTCCCGCGCTGACGATTTCTTTCGTGTACATTTTGTGAGCTGGTGCTGCATCCCCTCAGTGGCCCCGAGGGACCGGGGAGGATTCGTACACAAAATCGACGCATGGTACCCCTGCTTGTTTTAGGCTACCAGTCATAATTTCGACAGAGGGGCGTGGTCCCCACTCTTATCGCACAGTGTTCTGATCAAAGAAAGGCAGGCCCCTACTTAACAATTACTGCTGTCCATCTGTCGGGAATGGGCCATCTAATCTACGGTACTGATGTTTCGGCCGGCCTTCGAAGCAGCGCCTGGGTGTGCTATATGAATAGTCATTGACGTAGCATTCCTACGCTGTCTACTGCCCGCGTGTTTTGCTGCGTGATCGGTGGTGGAGACCTCGCATTCTCGTGTTTTTCTCTTCTAGTGCGTCGTGGAGGCTACCCGCTGCAGAGGTTGCAGGCTGAGGCAACTACTTGAGGCTCGACACTTTCAAGGAATACACGCAGCGCCATGGCGGATGTGGAATTGCCATTCGGCTTGGAGGGCCTGCCGGAACCAAATGAAGAAGTGGTATTGTTCCACCCCTCCATCTCGTTCTCTGTGGTATGATCTGTGTGTGGCTTGATTTGTGGTTGTTTGCAGGTACCCTCTGACGATCTGCCGTGTGGCGTGGCAGTGAAAAGCGCTTTAGGGGGTCACCACCTCCTCTGCATTTCCCTGGATGTACGAGAGTGCCTGACTCGAGGCAGGGAGACGCCAGGTGGCCCTCGAGTGGTGTAATCGGTCGCACCTCTGCCTCCGCTGTCTCTCCGCACACGACTGCATTATTCTCCCTCCCTCGTCGGCGCCTTGAGCGTGTGCGTGCTTATGTTTAAGACGGATTGGATGCATGAATGAACTCTTCCGTGGTTGGTTAGATAATTTTTTTGTTGTTTATTTGAATGACATTCTGATCTTTAGCAAGTCGTTTGAGGAACACCAACAACACTTACATCTAGTGTTGAGTAAGTTGCGAGACGCACAATTTAAGTTGAACCCAAAAAGTGTGAACGGGCTAAGCGTCAGGTTTTGTACTTGGGGCATATGTTGGATGGAGGAGATGGAATTCAGTTGGATGACACCAAAATAGCAGCAATCAGGGATTGACCGACACCACGTACTTTGATGCGAACTACGATCGTTCCTTCGTCTGCCCAACTATTACCGCAAGTTCATACAAAACTTTACTATAGTCGAAGGTGGGTAGGCTGTTGAGGAAAGAGACAATCTGAAGATGGGATAACGACTGTACTTCAACCTTTAAGCGTCTAAAGAAGTGCTTGATAGAGTATCCGGTTCTCAATATCGTTGATCCATCCTTGCCATTAATAGTTACCACTGGCGCTAGTCAATACGGGATAGGTGTTGTACTCCAACAGAATGATGGAAATGGGTACAAACCTGTTGAGTTCATGTCCTGTAGACTACCTAGTGAGAAGGTAGCTGCTTCTACGTATAAGAAAGATTTGTTTGCTCTTAGGTCAACATTTCAAAGTGTATTCAGACCATGAGACACTTCGCTAGTTGAAGACCCAAGCTAGAATGACACCTAAGTTAACAAGATGGGCTGGGGAGATTGATCAGTTTGATTTTAAATGGAAGCCAGTCAAAGGGAAGTATAACGTTGTCGCTGATGCGCCAAGTAGGCGAGAAGATTTCTTCGGTGCCATTGTAACATACATGGATGCGGGTGCTAATTTACAAGAGAAGATTAGGTCCGCCTACACTAGTGATCCGGCCTATAGTCAGTTGATTGGCAAGGTGCTGACAACACCACATGAAGTTCCGAATTATAGAGTGACCTAGGGACTGCTGTTTGAGAAGACGTGCACTAAAGATTGTGCATCCCAAATAGTGAAGAGATTCACAATCTAATCCTAGGGGAATGCCACAATACCGAGGGACATCTTGGTTGGAGGAAGACGTATGCTAACCTCCTATGTTCCTACACGTGTACTGGTATGAAACATGACTGTATAGCTTATGTACAAGGCTGCAAAGTATGTCAGCCAAAACAAGAGTTCCACACAGCCTCCCCTTGGTTTACTTAAGACCACTACCTATACCGTCAAGTCCCGGAGACTCCGCGTCTATAGACTTTATGGACACTAAGGTGAGAAGTAGGAATGGGAAGAGCCAAGTTATGGTGATAGTGGACAGATTTAGCAGGTTTGCTATTTTTGTGCCACTCCCTGCTGAAGCCAGACAGACTTAGTAGTTCGCGAGTTCTTTAATCATTGGGTGAAAGACTACGGGCATCCCTTGACTATTGTAAGTGAGAGGGATACGAGATTCATGGGCGAGCACTGGCAACAGCTCATGAATGTCTATGGGTTCAAACTGACTACGTCCTCAGGCAAACATCTTCCCTATACTCTTAAAGAATGCAAAGGGCCCAGCGTGACGCTTCCCACTGGGCCCAGCGAAATTCGGTGTGGAGGCGGGCGGGATTGGGGCAAGGTAAATCGACCGCGGCGTATCGTGGCGGGACTGCGGGCGGGAGTGAGGGAAATTTGGTGTGGCAGTTTCACGAGACACGCCCCGCTCTGCAATGTTGGGAGGACACAAAGTCCCGTTCCCCGCTGCCACGGTTTTTCTTCCMCCCCCCCCATTCAGTTTTGTTTCCCGCCAGTCCGTGGTGCCAGGTGGGGGCTACGCCGATATGGAAAAGGGCAGCGATGGAAAGATGTGATGGAGGAGGGAGGATCAATGCAGGAGGAGGGAGAAGGAAGAGGGAGAAAGACATTTGGGGCATGTGGCATGCGTGCGCTCAGAGCAGGAAGGGTGGGAGAAAGAGGGAGGATGAAGAGCGGGAAGCATGTTTGGGCTGATCGAAACAAAGGAGGCAGCATGAGAAGCAGCAAGGACAAGGAGGAACAACGAAAAAGAGGAGGAGCGTGGGGACGATGAAAATGGAGGAAAGAGGAGGAGGATGGAACAAAAGGAGAAAGAGGGACGAAAAGGAGGAGGACAATAAGCATGGCAGACAATGAGAATTCGTGGAGGAGGGGAGAGGATGTAGGGAGGAGGTTGCCACGGGGAGGAGGACATCGTGCAAGGGGGAGGAGGAGGTCGAAACGAGGGGGTTGAGGAGGTCGCACAAGGAGGAGGTTGTGCGAGGGGGAAGCGGATGTCGCTACAAGGAGGAGGAGGAGGTCGGAAGAGAGGTGGGAGGAGGTCATGCGAGAGGGAAGCAGACATCGCGACAAGGAGGAGGAGGAGGTTGTGCAAGGGGGATGAGGAGGTGAGTGGAGGACGAGTGAGGGGGAGGAGGTCGCACAAGGATTAGGAGGACATTGTGTGAGGGGGAGGAAGAGGTCGAGCAAGGGAGAGGTCAGAAGAGGGGGGGGAAGTCGTGCGAGGGGGAGAAGGGGGGCGCGTGAGGGTTAGGGGGAGGTCGGGCGAGGAGGTCGCGCAAGTGGGATGAGGAGGTTGGAAGAGGACACGTGAGAGGTGAGGAGGAGGTCACGCAAGGAGGAGGACGAGCTGGAGGAGGTCAAAAGAGAGGTGGGAGAATGTCGGAAGGGAGGTGGAAGGAGGTCGCGTGAGTGGGATGAGGAGGTTGGAAGAGAACTGAGAGGTGAGGAGGAGGTTGCGCAAGGAGGAGGAGGAGCTGGAGGTGGTCAAAAGAGAGGTGGGAGAACGTCGCGTGATGGGGAGGAGGAGGTCGGAAGACGATGTGCAAGGGGGAAAAGCAGGTTGCGCAAGGACGGGGAGGAGGTCCCGTGAAGGGGAGGAGGAAGTCGCGC